GGTGCTCCTCTGCTGAGCCAGTGTGTCATAGAGAGGGTGTGAGACATTGAAAGCTTGAGGCATGTGTACTGTGTGTATGTGAAAACGTGGTAAGTTGTGATGCTATAGAAGAAAAAACAGATTGTGTCAAGAGACTGCTCATACGCACACATCAATGTAACAGGGCAGTATTTCATCATTTGTGTGTTCGCAGGCAGACTGGTTATTTTTAACCATAGGAACCCTGTTGTCCATCCCCTGCCTCGCCCTCTGTTCTGGCCGCCTCTTTGTGCTTTGAGAGCTTGGTACATGGTCAGTTGAGTGTCATGCAGTTTCCTTTGATGGCTTTCTTTGCTTTGCTGTCAGTTTAAAGTTAATAAGAAAAATAAATCTTAAACAGAGGCTTGACTCGTTTTGTAGTATTTTATCAAACATGTTATTAATGATGTTCAGACAGATGTCCATCATGACTTAGCAGCTGTCTGTTTTTATCTCCTTACTTCCACGTGTTGACAGTGGACTAGTTGCTGTTCACTAGCAAGGACCATGCCACAACAATATTTTATTTAAAGGTTTTTCTAGAAATTTAGGAGATGGAAGAAATTGTCATTTCTTAGTTTGGTCTGCGAAGATGTGCTGAGGGCTGGGCAGAGGGAGACTCAGTGTTGAGGTTCCATCTCTGCCGAGCTGCTTACAGACCCCACAGACAGTACACCTAAGATGAGATGGAAGAGGTATGCTGCTGATTGAATAGGAAGGGATGAGGGGAGAGAGGGTGGAGGGATAGGGTAGGGATGAGATGAATAATGAAGGGAAGGGATGGGTGGAGAGAACTAAGGGAAACAGGGCAGGAAGGGTTTGACCAGGTATAAGTAGCTTGTCAGGTGATTATAAGTATGGTTGAGGCGTGGCCCTGCTCCCGAACCTAAATTAATTAATCAACTTCATCTCTGTGCGTGCAAGAGGACAGAGAGGGTGATGCGGCCAGAAGAAAGAAAGAAAGAAATAAAGACACTTTGGGTTGGAGACATTAAGATAGTCGATTGTTGAGTCTCATTCCCAGCACCATTTGACACCCTGGGAATGAGACTCGATCATCTCTCTTTCTCAGCTGTGATTGGTTGTTTTCCTTCAGGCCTGTGGATTCTTGTAAATACATTAGGAGCACTAGGAGGAACCAGAGGCACTTTTTCACAGATTATCTGTCTCATGTGCTACTGTCAGGATATAGTGAAAGTTTCAGCAGATAATATGACAAAAAGTAATCTTTATTAAAATGTCCTATTGCAGCTTTAAGCTGTGTTGTGCTATAAAGGGGTGAAATTGTATTGTAATGACAGGAGGTCATGATATGTGGAATATGTAACATAAATAGAAAGAGAAATATTTTAATCACAAGAATCTAATTGTTGTTAGTCATTTTCCAAATCATTAAAATAGTCAGACAGGATACCAGCCCCCTCATTGGTTATACAAAAACAAACCTAAACATTTTATTTGTTGGCTGCGAAATGAATAAAACTATTTAAGAAAAAGCTGACATTTTTTTAAATTAGGCAAATCACTTGTATACCGTTTTTTCCTGTTGCTGGACATCTGTCAAGTCAGCAGGTGTAGCTTACATGATCCCAGGACTGAGAGGACCGTTATAGGGCTCAGGAAACTTTTTGGTTTTTGAGTTTATTTTTTTTTTTTTTTTTTTTTTTTTTTTTTTTTTTTTTTTTTTTTTTTTTTTTTTCATAACTGATTAGAGTGGACTGGTGAGTCTACAAATATTGAACTATTCTAATATCTATTTTTTTTTTTTCTGAGATACTGAATTTTGGGTTTTCGTTAGCTGTAAGCCATAATCATCAAATTAATCAACAAAAAAAAAAAAAACTTGAAAACATTTCACTGTGTAATGAATCTATGTTAAATATGAGTTTCACTTTTTTGTTTTGAATTGAATTACTGAAATAAATGAACTTTGTCATGATATTCTAATTTATTGAGATGCACCTGTAATTAAATACCTAGACTTTCGAATGGAGTTTGGCGTGACGTTCTCTCCGTACAGAGCTGGACGTAGCCGGTCCCCCAGCTGAGCAGCCTGCCTGGAGCATGTACGGAGGGGCGGCGGGGGGGACACCGAGCCTTCCCCTCACGTGTGTTGATAAAATGCAGAGCTAGTTATGACTATTGGGGTGTTTTCTCATAACGTTAATGTTGCTCAATGCATATCAGCAGCTTGGTGGCAAAAGCGGGGGCAGGAAGCAACGACGACTCTGAGGTCAACTTGAAAATTAACGGTATCCGTCCGGTAAGACTCTATGAATGGCTTGCTCGCTAGCGTAGCCAGCTAGTCCTGCGCTTTAGCTAACGTTGAGCCAGTTCTCATATCCTGTTGTTATTTTTATACCATTGCATATACTGTCAGTGGTTGAGGGGCTGTCACAACCGGTCTGAGGGCTAGCGGTGGTTGTTAAGGTAGCTACTGTAGCTAATATGCTATCATATAACGTTAAACATAGTTAATGAGCTAGCTGGTAACTGCAATAACGTCACTGTACATTCCTTATTTCCCACTGCTTTTCTAACGATACACTGTTTAGCTCCATTATTAACCCCGCCACTTAACAATACTCCACGTAAATTGTGTGTTGCTAAATGAAATGAACTAACGTTAGTGGTTAAGCCCATTTCTCCCACTAACATAACGTTACCACTTGTGGCCTCTTCCTTCTAACACATCATCACTGTGTCTAACGTTATATTAATCAATATTAGAAACCGTGGACGGATCTAAAGCGGTGCCCCCCCCCCAACAATGCCTGGCAACCCCAGTTTGGTGTCAAATGCAAACACATTCATTTTTAGTTATTTAAAAAAAAAAGTCTGTTAAAATACTTAATTTAATTAATAGGTTATGGCCACATTTAAACATTAATAAAACATTTGCACATCAACCGTACAAACATTAACCATCTCTTCTAATCATCCAGTAAATTAAAATACAATGCTTAAATTGAGTGTTTCCTGACAAGAGATTGGCGGTTCCCCGGCTCCTCTCACTGCATGTTTAAGTGTCTTTGAGCACTGAAACCCAAATTGCTCCAGATGCTGTGCACCACTGCCATCAGTGTATGAATGTGTGTGAATGGGGAATGTAGTGTAAAGCACACTGAGTGGTGGAAAGACTAGAAAGGCGCTATATAAGTACAGTCCATTTACCATTTACAGGTATTCCTGTTTCACTGTGGAAGCCAGTGTTGGTAGGTACAGTGAGGGACGGACATATCAAATACAAAGTTAGGCACCTGCTTAGCTGGACTGAGGTCAGGTAAACGAGTCATTTTTTAATTTCAAATCAAACAATCAACTACTAGCTGCTGATTTCCCCCTGGCTGTTTCCGGGTTATCCTGGTGCAGACACAGTGTGAGTTTATGCATCAGTCACCCATGGAGGTCCCACACCTGTCCAATAGGAACACATGACATTTATTGTATTATTTAGAACAATTGTTTACTTTGTAAACAAAAAGTTGCGTAATTCGTTTGGCATATAGCCAATTAGATCCGCTCCTAATAACTGAATGAATTCCTACAATTGCCATAACCAGTATAACATTCAGTTTCTCACATTTATACCTAAGCGGGTAACATTCAATTTTGTAGTGAAGTCTGCGTCTCTGTGTGTTAAGCTAGCGGACGTTGACCTCCAAATACAGACATATAGCTAGTTGGAGAGCTGCAACAATTAGTTGCTTAATTGATTGAAGTCAATTGAAAGAAAATCTGTCAACTGTTCAGGAAGAAATATCAAAAATGTTTTACAGCCAACTTTATTAATATTTGTCATTTATTTATGAATTGATTAACCATAGTTAATCTAGTTGGAGCTTCTAATGTGAATATGACACATGACAAGGGTCAGGTGTCAGGAAAACGCCAGCGCTTGAATCTGATACTTCTGTTGACTGCTGCAGTCTCGGGCGTTTGGCCTCTGTGGCTGTGTTTACATGTAATGACATGCTGTGTGTGTGTGAGCGCTGGCTAACCACTCTTTCCTGCTCAAACAGGATCCACTCTAGGATGTGCCATGTACGCTAGTTGGAAATGAGAATGAAAGCCAGTCGCAACCTCCTCCTGTGCCTCTGCTCCATGCTGGCCCTGGGGTTCCTCTACTATTCGTCAGGGAGGATCAGCCTACGAGGCTGGGGATACAAATCATGTGAGTCTATGAAGCGGGCTTAATGTAATGTACAGTATGACCTTCATTCAGTTGCAACCGGATAAAGCTGGGTGCGTATTTAGTTCGAAACTCAAACTACTGTCTGTTGGTAGGATAAACTGTATGACACTTCACAGCGGTTTTACCAGATACAAAGTGGAACTGACTTGCAGTGATCTTTTTGGCATCAAGTCAAATTCTCCTATCTCCATGCATATGGTGTATTAATGATCACATTAACATCCTGGCTTTAGGCGTTTCACCTAGTCTAGGCCAGGCATCTTTGGTTAACCGACTACTGATTCATTACTCGCAGCTTTTAATATCACAGGCTTCATAAACACAATATAACAGTAAGATAATCACATGAATAATTCTAAAAATAATAATGGTCGCAATGTTAAAATAACAGTACTTCACTGAATGGTGATATGTAATCCTATTCGTGGTATTTGCATGCAGTTTAATAAAAACAATGCAAATGCATACATATGAACATAAAATAACAAAACACATTGGTTCCGACCGAGTGACTGATAACTGAAGTGATAAAGCTCCTAGGTAACTTGTGTGCTGCTGCTTTCATGAAACAGAGTCATTGGATAACCGGAATATTCTGACTATCTATGTTTTGTGAAACAGCCTCCAGGGTTCACCCTCATCACTAGCTGATGGTTAACAAAACTGTTAACTCTGCCCCATTTTTGAGAAGCTGTAGTGTTTATGTTTGAGAAAGTGTAGGTCACACTGGACAGCATTGAGCTACAGCTCCTAGCAAACTCTGACCGCTTGTATTTACAGTTAAAATGAATCTTTGTTGTACTAAAGGAGTAGACAGCAGGCAGCATGTGTGAAGACATTCATTTATCAAACATGTTTGATGATATGATTAACAATAGGTCACAGGTATAAAGGTATAGATATAGAGTTATAATGTGAGTTTTCAGTTACTTTACAGTTAATTGCCTGGTACTAAAATACACTGAGAATGAGGCTTTACATTAGGGCTGCACAATAATAAGGGGCAGATCAATTATTATATATTATTGGCCACGAGAAGCCTTTTTTAAGACACGTAAAAGCTTCAAAATATGAATATTAAATATTAAATACGTATTTTATGTCGTAACAAAATGTGAAAACCTCTTAAGCTTGTGTTAACCACAGACGTTATTCCAAAAACCCACTGACTTTGAGGAGAGGTGGGGGAGGCTCTGGACCCCTTTCAGTTTGCATATAGGGCTGGGATGGGAATAGAGGATGCATTGATCACTTTACTCAGCTCTATGCACAAACCCCTCGAAGGTCCTGTCACACATGCCAGACTTTAATTTTTAGATATTTCATATATTTCAGTTAAGAAACTGCTTTGTGACTTTTATCTTGATGTAAATGTGGTGGGCTGGATTGTAGACTTTTTATCATGTAGTTCACAGAAGGTGAGAGTAAATGGCTTTCTGTCAGAACAGCGCTCCTCTTCCACTGGCTGTCCTCAGGGCTGTGACTGGTCCCCCTTGCTTTACATTCTCTACACCAATGACTGTAGAAGCCAACATGAGGACAGACACATCCTGAAATTTGACACAGTTATCATCAGTCTGCAGTCTGTAGGAAGGGACAGTAACGTTTGTACTTCCTCAGGAAGTTTAATGTTTTTAATGTGGACAGGAAAATGGTGTTCTCACTTTTTCTGTGCTGCTTGGTACGGTAACCTGAACATAAAGGATAAAACCCACCTGAACCACAAGGTGATAGGTGTCTCACAAACCCCCCTGATGGCTATCTTTGACTACAGTCCAGATCCATACTGGACCCCCTTATCTTGAGTTTGAAAGTCTTCCCTCAGGCCGTAGATTTAGAGTACCAAAGTTAAAGTGCAATAGGAGTAATAACTCCTTTATTCCGTGTGCAATATCCCTGCTTAATATGCACATGTAATTTTAAATGTTCTCAGTATTAATTTGCACATTTCATTTTAAAAATACTATTTTAGCACCTTGCACATGAAATGATCCATCTTTTTGGCACATTCCTGCAGCTCTCTATTGCAAGACTAAAGCTACAGTAGGTAGTTTTTATTCAAATTTTTTTTTATTATGCTGGAACTTTCTGTATATCAAGTACATGAGACAGATAATCTGTGAAAAAAATGATTCATTTTAAATGTTAAAAGTATTGTTAACGTCATGAAAAGTTGAAGTCTAAACTTTGTTTTGAGCCTAACAAACCAGAGTTCTGTTACATAATTTTAGCTGTAAATACACAAGGGCGGCTGTGGCTCAGAGGCAGAGTGGTCAGAAGACTAGGAAGGCGCTATACAAGTACAGGTCCCTTTACCATACTGTAATGGTTTTATTGCGTACACTTCCACATCTTTAATGTGTGTCTGAAAAATGAATGTGGATGACAGACTCAGATAATGGCTGTTTTGGGATGTGTCTGTTGAGGGAAAGGACCTACAGACTCTATCCAGCTTTTTTACCAGATGGTGGAGCCAGTCCATTTACTTAGAGACAGCATATTTCCTTGGTAGTTTTAGTTTGATCACATTTTGACTCTTCACTGCCTCCTCGCTGCCTCAAAGTAGAAAAGCATTGGACATTCATAATCTGGGCTCACTGCTGATTTGCGAAGTGAATGGTTCATGCCTTAATTATTATTTATTATTATTATTATTATTATTCAGAAAGAATCCAGTTAAGAAACACTGACGAGGGGAATGGAGAGGCTGGTATTCATACTGGGAATTGGCCTGAATTTGAGGTCTAAATATTCCCTTGACACCATTAAGAAACTTAGTGCCTCATGTTGTACACATTATTTGCTATATTACTGTCAACTTAACTTTTTCAATTTTACAGATCTGTTTCTTCTTCTAGTGCAAAAAAAGCCACACTGTCTTACAATGGCTAAGTGCAATATGCAAATCCCAGTAGCTGCGGTTTGTTTGATAAAGGTAAAATGTGTGACAAACAGCATTACAATGAAATACTGCAGAAAAGTGCTGCAGAGAGCCTGGCCTACAAATGGTATTCTCGGGATTTAAGAAAACATGTTTGTTCGGTACAGACCCCAACAAATATTACATCATCATGATTTTAATTGTGAATCATATTGCAATGGCAATATCTGTCAAATCGGAATATAATGTTTTTACCTTATTTTGCAGCCCTACATTTCAATAAATGAGACATTTTTAAATCAATAATTATATGAATAAATAGTCTAGTATGAAAGGTTAATTCATCCTGTTTATTTTCACAATAACATTTTTTATTTTTTATTTCATTCCAGCAGTTTCTTTTCTTTTTCCAAAGGCTGTTATTTCATGTTATTTTTGCAAAGATTCTTTTTTGTTTTATTTCATCTTGCCACTTTCCGTCACACAGTCTTTGTCTTTTAAAGGACCAGTGTGTAG